AGAGATGCACAGAGCAGCTTTTGCACACAGACGCCCAAGGCTTTTACGCACATAAGTTTTTACTAGTTTTTACACATAAGCTTTACACAGACAAGCTTTTACACAGAGAAGCCTCTACACAGAGCACCTTTTTTACACAGAAGCATTTACACACACACACAAAAGCTTTACACACACACGCCTTTACACACAGAGCTTTTCCACACAGACGCTTTTACGCATAGAAGCTTGTTTGCAGAGCAGGGTTTACACAGAGCAGCTTTTACACACCGAAGCTTTTACACAGAGAGAGGCCTTTGCACAGAGCAGCTTATACAATCTTATACACACAGAAACTTTAAACACGCAAATGCCCAAGCGTTTGCGCAGACAAGTCTTTACACATAGAGGTATTTACACAAAAGTTCTTCACACAGATGCGGCAAATGCTTCTACACACAGAAGCTTTTGAACACAGGTGCCTTTCCACACAGAAGCATTTACCCAGAGATGCTTTGACATATACACGCCTATACACACAGAAGCTTTTAGACACAGATGGTTTTTCAGAGAATCACAGAAGCTTTGACACAGAGAAGCCTTTACAAAGAGAATCTTTTACACACAGAAGCTTTTACACACACACAAGCTTTTCCACCGAAGCTTTTGCGCAGAGAAGCTTTTGAGCACAGGAGCTTTTGCACACAGACGTCTTTATACACAGAAGCTTGTACACACGGAGGCTTTTACGCACAGAAGCTTTTACACAGAGAAGCCTTTACACACAGACGCTTTCCCACAGAAAAACTGATTCCACAGAGCAGCTTTTACACATTTCAAAAAATCGCAATTTTAGGTAAGTTATTGACGTTCGGCCATCATATCGTGCGAAAGGGTTGCACCGGCGTTGGAAAATCGCAATTTTTGACGTTGGACAATCATTTTGCGTAAAAGGGTTGCGCCTGACCTTGTAAAATCGCAATTTTACACCTGTTTTATTTCGCGCGAAACCGTTGTGCCTGACGTTCCAAAATGGATAAAGTCGCAATTTGACACCAATTCTTGAACGTTTGCACCTGACGTTTAAAAATTTCAGTTTCCCACAGTTATTGCCGTTTGACTTTCATGCCACCCTTGCATCTGAACTTTCAAAATCACAATTTTACACATTTTTTTTAATGGTTGACCCTCATTTCGTGCGAAGGGTCTGTGCCGGGCCTACCAAATTTGCATTTTGCCACGTGTTTGTGTGTCCGACCTGCGCGATCTCTGCAGAGGGTTGCCCGTGCCCAAAAGAAATTCACATTCCACCACATGTTTGGGCGTTCGAAACGCACGATCTCCGCAGACGGTTGCTGCGGGCAAAGAAGTTTCGCATTTCACCACACCTTTGCCCATCCGACATGCACGATCTCCGCAGAGGGTTGCCCAAGGACAAACAAGACCCGCATTTCGCCACACGTTTGGGTGTCCGACACGCCGCAGAGGGTAACGTATCGTAAGCCACCGCCTGGCTGTCGCTGCCGCCAGAATCCCTACCCTCTTAAAAATGGAATTTGAGGGGGGGGAGTCGTACTGAATTTTCATTTTAAAATTCAATTTTTGCGATCATGCTTTCTCAATGATCACTATTCCTCATCATTCCATGTCATTGGCAAGCAGGTGAAAAATTAAATACTTGCGCTTAGCTCCGGAGGGGCTAAGCACATGTCAGACTGAAGCAGCACATGTGTAGGGATGGCATCCCTCCAAAAAATTGCGCTGCCGTGATCGAGCTAAGCGCAAGTAATTTCAAACCAGTTCCCAAGGCTTGTTAAGAAATGTTACTTTACAATTCCATTCGAGGGGTTGGATCACTATCCCAGGGTTTCCAAGCAAAAACAAGATGCAGCCCACTAACCCGAATGCTCACACATATGTTAATGGTACAGATGTCAAAACACATGGATATGCAGTCACGCACAACACTTTTCTGCAATAGTTTACTTGAACAGTCTTGTACAGATTTCCCCTGTTACCAGTCTGCAGTGTGGAGTGGAAAGTGTAGAGTGTGGAGTGTGGAGTGTAAAGTGTGGAGTGTGGAGTGTAAAGTGAGGAGTGGGGAGTATAGAGTGTGTAAAGTGTAGAATTGGAGTGTAAAGTGCAGAGTGTGGAGTGTAAAGTGTAGAGTGGGGAGTGGGGAGTGTAGCGTGTGGAGTGTGGAGTGTAGAGTGTGGAGTGTGGAGTGAGCAGTGTAAATTTAAAAGTGTGGAGTGTGGAGTGCGGAGTGTAAAGCGAAAAATGTGAAGTGAGGAGCGTGGAGTTTGTAAATTGTAGAGTGTGGAGTGTGGAGTGGAAAGTGTAGAGTGTAGAGTGCCGAGTGAGGGGTGTAAAGTGTAAAGTGTGGAGTGTAAAGTGAGGAGTGTGGAGTGTAAAGTGTGGAGTGCGGAGTGTGGCGTAAAGTGAGAAGTGTGGAGCGTGGAGTGTGGAGGGTAAAGTGTAAAGTGTAAAGTGTAAAGTGTGGAGTGTAAAGTGAGGAATGTGGAGTGTGGAGGGTGGAGTGGAAAGTGTAGAGTGTGAAGTGTGGAGTGTGGAGTGTAAAGTGAGGAGTGTGGAGTGAGGAGTGTGGAGTGTGTAAAGTGTAGAGTGTGGAGTGTAGAGTGTAAAGTGTAGAGTGTGGAGTGTGGCGTGTAAATTGTAGAGTGTGAAGTGTGGAGTGTAAAGTGTAGGGTGAGGAGTGTGGAGTGTAAAGTGTGGAGTGTAAAGTCTCAAGTGAGAAGTGAGGAGTGTAAAGTGCAAAGTGTAAAGTGTGGAGTGTAAAGAGTGTGGAATGTGGAGTCTAAAGTGTAAATTGTGGAGTGTGGAGTGTAAAGTGTAGAGTGTGGAGTGCGGAGCTTCCCTCATAGACACGGCGACGCCACAGGAAAACCAGAGACTTGAGACAAGACACATGGATGCAGAAAAGCCACACATTTCGTACGAGACTTCCTGCAAGTTTGACATTTTCGACACGTTAGCAAACAGGTTGGAATGTCACAAAGTGCTGCGCCTGCCACGCAAAACGACAGGACAACCTGCTTGGAAACCTTCGAAAAGGAGAGGTTTTGCAGCTTCCCCCATAGACACGGCGACGCCACAGGAAAACCAGAGACTCGAGACGAGACACGTGGGTGCAGAAAAACGAGCATTTCGTGCGAGACTTCCTCTAATGTTCACACTTTGTAGCTTCAAAATCGACGTTTTCCTACGAGTGTTCGTAGGAACCTCTAAATTTTACAACCTCAAAATCGATGTTTCGTGCGAGGCTTCCGTCAATTTTCAGCACATGTCACAAAATGCCACGCCTGCCACGGAATTTGCAACTTGTCGCCACTTGACGCAGCCCTGCCAATGCGATTTGCAAAAAACACTCAACACGACACGTCTAAAGTGGTGCGCCTGCCACGAAAAATGACGATGCACACGTCCAAAGTGCTGCGCCTGCCACGAAAACTGCTACGCATCTTCTGAAAACGTCGCAAAAGTATTGCGCCTGCCACACAAAACGATATTTGACACGTTACAAAACGCCTCTGAATGTCACGAAGTGCCACGCCTGCCACGCGAAACGAAGCAACGAGACGTTTGAAACCTCCAAAAATGACCACCTCTGCAGAACTTGCCATAGGCACGGCCATATGGCAATCGCGCGGACGGTTGCGGACGGTTGCGGACGGTTGCGGACGGTTGCGGACGGTTGCGACCGTGAACGCACAACGTCGAGCGAACGCACCCTCAACCCCCAGACCCCCAGAGTGAAACGGGAACCCTTGCTACGCATTCCGGAAAAAGTGGAATTCGACATGTTGGTTTTGTTACCCCCCGCCCTCCCCCTCTATATGGGTAGAGAATTTGCCAGAGAGAAATACAAGAACTGGAGAAGTCTGATTTTGCAGGTGTTCACATACAATTTGATCCGCTGGAAGTTAGCTGAACTCCTGTGTGTCAACTCCTGTGTAACAATTTCTGTGCAAATGACCTTGCAGGCAGGAGTCTTGTAGGAGTTCAAGTAGAAGTGGATCACCTGCAAGTCAACTCCTGTGTAAATGACATTTTTCAAGTTTTGTAGGAGTTCCCTAGAAGTTGATCACCTGTGGCTGATGTAGGTGATGTTGTCTATGGTGTAGATGATGAGGATGATGTTGTAAGTGATGTAAGGTTAGATTGGCTTGAAGATGTAGGTGATGTAGAGGATGCAGTGATATAGATGATGGTGTAGGTCATGTATGCGTTGTAGATGATGTATGTCATGTAGATGAGGCTGATGGAAAAAGATTGTGTAGGTGATGTAGATTGTGTAGGTGATATAGGTGATGATGATGATGATGATGATGATGTAGGGAAGATGGTGCAGAAGATGTAGGTGATGTGGGTGGTGTAGAGGATGATGTAGGTAATGTATGTGCTGTAGATAAAACATGTCATATCATATAGATGAGCTTGGTGGAGAAGTGTGTAGGTGGTGTAGATAATGTAGGTGAGACAGATGTAGGTGATGATGATTATGATGATGGTGGTGATGATGATGATGATGGTGGTGTAGATGTAGATCCAGGAAAGATGGTGTAGAAGATGGTATAGAAGATGTAAAGGACATAAGATATGTGGAAGATGTATGTTAGGTAGATGAAGCGAAGAGTGAGGCGGGCAGCAGTTCTTTGGGAAGAAAACCCTTCGCACAAGCTTCCGGGATACCGGGCCACAGTATTGCAAACGCTTTTGGAAAAGCGTTTTTTTCATAAAGTGTTTGTGCTGTGATTACACCTTGCACGCCCGACTTCTAGAGTAAAAAGGGCGGGGCAATAAACATACTTCACTCATTGCGTGTTTGGCAACTGTTTTTGTTTCTCGCTGTTGGGGATACTCTTTGGGCTTATTGTTTTTATCAGGCATGAATGCATTGAATGTCAAGCTTGTGAAGGCTCACCGGCATGAATGCTCTAGTGAAGCAATGCCATATTCCTACTTGACGCCCTCAACCCTTGCTACCTGCAGACCTTTTCAATCAAAAAAGCATCGGCTAAGAGCACTGTTTTTCACGTCGCTCCGTGAGCGAAGCAATCCTTCTCAAGGCCCGCTACCAAGCTCCACGCGTGCTCGGTCTAATCAAAAGAGCATCGGCTAAGAGCACTGTTTTTCACGTCGCTCCGTGAGCGAAGCAATCCTTCTCAAGGCCCGCTACCAAGCTCCACACGTGGTCTCACACGGCAACGTCATGCAACGTCTAAGCAACACGTTGCACTAGTATTTGTTACGCACGTCCACTTGCCCTGGAGGCACTCAAAATGAAGTTTGTGGAAAGCATCGTTGCAGTCAAATGTTGCATTGCTTTCGTCGCAGGTCCAGTTGTGACATGCCCAGCCCCAGCCCCAGCCCCAGCCCGCGCAGCCATTTGGGAGTTTGTTCATGTTGAAAGAAGCTTCAACGCTCGCAAGGATGAGGCAAGCGAACAAAACGGATCTGAGCGCCATGGCTATGTCGACGCTGAGCAAAATAGCGTCCCTGAGTGCTTGAGGCAAAATCTGTACAAACAGCTACGGAAGACCATAAAGATGCTGAGATGCACTCGGAGCCGGAGCATTATAACAGGTGTGGAACAGTGTAAAACAGCTGTAGTCGATGTTCATTCTTCCAGTGACATAGAACAACTCAGCACAACTCAGCCTGTCCTCAGCTCAACGGTCTGTTGGAGTTGAAAGTGCAAAAAGCAACATCATCAGCTGGTGAGCAGGTGCTAGTGCATTTGTCTGTGCTTTCTGGACTACAAATCCTAGCGGCCGTGTCGTGTTGACACTGCTTGTGAGACTGAAGCCCCAGCTTGCACTAGCTTGCAGGTCCCTGACAAGGTTTTCCAGCCCACAAACTCGGTCCTTCGGGCATGTGTGGTGAGTGTCCTTCTGCACTTTTCTGTGCTCAAAATATTTGTTATTGCTGCTAACCACAAGCCAAGCTGTTCAGGCAACAAATTCATTCAGCATGTCCGGACATTGCTTGACCTGAATCGTGCAGAATAGCAATCCTACTTCACAATTCCTTTGCGCTGCATTATTGTTTTGTGGAAGTTTGATGGATATTCCACCTCAGTCTACGGCTGGGCGTCTGGCTTGCCACAGGTTGTCTCAATGCTCTGCGAGTCCATCTGGGCATCCGAAACCACGGCATGATTCCCGTCCATTTCTGTCTCTCTACAGTCTCTCTAGATTATCAATTTCTGTCAACTACGATTGAGAATCGGAGACTTAGACAGAGAGAGAGAGAGAGGGACTGATCATCCAGAGATGTACCGTAAATCCGTTCAAAGGTATACCCAAGCTGGCAAAAGGCTCCAACAAAATCTATCTTTGGATGGCAACTGTTTATCAAGTTGGTCTCTCTCCAAGCAGTTCATCAAAAAGTTTATCAAGTTGTTTCAAGCATTGGCAGGTCAGCCCAGGCCTTCAGCTTCATCTCGGGGCAGTTTGTCACTATCCATTTTTGACCTGTGAAATCTGGGAAGGTCAAAGTCAAAGGAGTCAAAGGTGCGAAGTTCTGTGCCACATCGGATGCCTTTTCTGCCCAAGAATGCTACTTCTTCACATGTCGTTGGCATACTTGCCAAACAGGCCCAAAAATTGAAGTTTTAAACTTTGTCAAAAGTCAAGAGTTCAAGTGTGTCGCATCCCGAAGCCTATAGTTACAGCATGTTACAGCTAAATCAGATTTTCGCGCGAGGAGGCACATGGGCAAGGTCCGAAAATGTCCAAAAGCAGGTGCTGTGTGAGTGCTGTACGAAACGACGATACGACGATACGAAGAAACTTTCACAGCCCAGGTCAAGTGCCACGGTGTCCACGCAGCGTCCACACACTTCGATGCTTCGATGCTCAGGTGAAGCGGTCAGAGATTGCGCTGCCTGGGATCTTCTTCATTCATTTGCGCTGCAATGTCCAGGTCCTTACAATCGCAAACAGAACTGGACCTTTTTGTGTCATTTTGTGTCTGTTGCATTCTGTTGCCACATCTGAACCTGAAAATCCCGAAGGTTCTGTTCTGATATTTTTTCTGTCTCTGGGTTAATCACAAGAATCTCAGCAGCTTCTGATTTCTGTCGAAAGGAAGTCACCTGGTCAGAATCAAGTGCATGTGTTTCGAAATGGACTGACGCCAACGGTGCTTGCGAAATGAATTGTTTCGTCCATTGGCCAAGATCAATATCCAGCCGCGTCTTTGAGCAAAGTTGAATTCTGTACCTTCGCCCGCACGCGCTTGAACTTGGAGAGCTTGAACGGCTCCTGAAGAAAGGAGATCTGCCTAAGTCGGAGTACTTTTTCAACAATTTGATACAATTTGCATCTTCGTATTCCCTCACCTTCCTGTCATCTAGCTATCCTTCTTTGACAGCTAGGGTGCTGCTTTCTCTTTCTATTCAGGCTTCAACATCTGTGTCAAGAGCAGCTCTTCGCTGAGTCGGCGGTCCTGCTTCCATTGTGGGTTGTCCTCTTCCAGGATAGCCTACAAATCAGCTCAGATTGGGAGTGATAGCAGCAGATATCAGATATCGTGGTCAAAAATCAACCGTGCCAAAGCTGAGGACAACTTGAAGTAATGCAGCAAGATCAGCAAGTATCCTGGACTTTGTGGAAAAATGCGATGGCATTGACACAGCAAGTGCTTCCAACTGCTCTGTGGTCACAATTTAAATCGGTCCGGCTCGTTGATTCGTTGATTCAATTAGCCATTTGCACAGGTTTGAAGATGTTGAATCCTCCACTGTCCGCATCTTTGGGACCGTTTGGGACACAAGCACCTGTCAAACGAAGGCTACCAAAAAAGACAAAAAGAGGACCAAGAAACGATTGATCCTGAATCCACTCCACTGAATCCAGGGCAGCGCTGCCCATGCTTCAGACTGATCTCCATACGTTCACGCGCCGTGAAGGGCTCTCCCCAAACTGGACCTACAATCACAACATGAACCTGCAGAGTCGAACATGGCGTCCCTGGTGTTCCTGAATTGTCAGAGCACTGTGCTTCCATTCCAAGCTTGACGGATCACTATCAACACAATTTTGTTTCAAGCTTGACTTGATCACGGCTTCAAGCTTGGGAGGAAGATGTGAGCTCATCATGCACCAGAAAACCAAGTGTTGTACGTCATGTCGAGTCTTTGAAATCCTTTGACCTTGAAATGTTGAAACCTCCGAACTTCTATTGTGATGGTTTCAGAAAGAAACAAACAGATTGAACTTACAAGATTCATACCGTATTCGCAAAGCTACGAACAACATCGAACAACTTCGCAAGGGGTCTCGGGGATAAACGGTCCAAGTTCCTAGGGCCTTGGTGCAAGTTTGCACGAAAGCCTCAAACTTCTGCGCATTCAAGTAAGGTCAGCTTCCGTCACAAAACCACAGTCTTTGTGGTTTTGAATGCCTCAGTTGCTAAAGAATGCTAAAGGCGTATTGTTTCAATGTACTATGCTATTACTATGCAGTCAAATGATGTCAAATGCACCACAGCTAGACTGAGCTAGACAAGGCATCCAAGGCATCCAAGGGACGGCAACCACAAAGCACACAATCCACAGGGGCGCTCCGCGCTGCTCAGCTGCTCAGTTTCACAGGGCGCCACAGGTAGACATCGCCTCGGGAGACCGGAGACATCCGGAGACCAGACTTGACCAGACTCGAGTGCCGGAATGGCGTCACATGGCGTCACGGTGCAGCTATGTGCAGCTAGAGCTAAGAAAATTAAGAAATGCTGAAACCTCGAAGCACTTTGAAAGAAAGCACTGTATTGAAGATTAGCTGAGCAGGTTCCAGTTCAGATTGAAGTATTGAGACGCATCGACTGCATAGTCAATCCTGAACCTGTCAGCTTTATCAATCCGTTTGCATATTGACAAATGATGAGACGTGGCCACCATTCACTGGAACTTGAGTGCAGCAAAGGCACAGTGTTTGCATTTGCTACAGGCTCCCCGCTTCACACCCATAAAGTCAGCCATGTAACCTTGACAAGATTTATGACAAAACGCGCGAACATGTGAAAGAGATGGTTGTGAGGGGGAGCAAAGATTCGTTGCTGTCGTGGATACTACCACAAGTACGCCTGCAAAGTCATCTGCTAAGTACATCCTTTCATGCTGTCAACTCTCTCAAAGCCAACCTTGCAGGTGTGTCTTGTGTGTGTGTGTACCATCTGAACAGATGTAAAACTTCTGATTGGTTTTCACTAGTTTGCAGGGGGGTGCAGAGCACAGTGGAGACTGCACCCAACGAAGCTATCCACTTGTGCTGGAAGCAGAGTCTGATCAACTCTGTGTACCTGCAAAATTTGGTTTCAACTGTTGATCAAGCTGTTACACTGCGTTGTTTCGAATCTACACGGTTGCCACAATCTGTATTGCATGCATCAGAACCTTCCTCAGATTTTCGCCGAAACCATATCGCCGACAGTATTATGATTTTTTGACATATTTTCGCCGAGATCATGTCGCCGACGAACTTTGGGTTATTTTGGGAAACAATCGCCGAAACATTATTGTGGATTCTCAACATGCTGGTTAAAACTCTATGGATTCTGGTTTTGACTTCGTTTGACAACATTGGATGCCCTACATCGTTTTCGAGAAGTACCTCATGTGGCTCCTTTACTAATCTAACGATCTAGGCTGGTTTGCATGTTTCAGGATTCAGTTCCTGCCGGATCATATAATGATCCATTCTTGTCTAGTGTGATTTCCATGGTGGCTCCGACATGGTGCCATGGAGCCACTTGAGGCAACCCTTTTCAGGGTGAGTGTTGACAGTCTTGAACTCTGAATTCACACATTTTAATTTGGTAATTCGTTTACGTAATGTGCAACAGCTGGCCTTTCCGTTTTGCACCTTTTGTGATGTCCCGCGCTTCCGGCTGTCCTTTATGAACCCAGTGAATGCATCTCTATTGAGTGAAGCCACTTCGAACTACCAGAAACCTTTTTTCTCTGCAGCTTGCGCATTTGAAGTTCAACATGACATTCACGACAAAAGGCAACAGGCATGTCCTTTTCCTGCAGGTGTGGTCTCTTTGGTTTTTGGTGAGGTGAAACATTTTGTGCATCTAATTCGTTGGAATTTGGAAGCTGTTTTATGCCTTCGTGGCACGACTTGACCACGGTCCCGGTGCAGGGAATAATTGCACGACATCTTAGGCAGTTAGGGACTGAATCCTGTATGTGATTGTTTACTTTTGTTTTCATCTACTGAAGCGATGCATCCGTGGAACCCTCCGCCAACGTCCTGGCCTGTTCCACCGCAGCCTACGAACGCACCTCCGACGTGGCCGCAATCATCACAGAACGTACATCTATTTGGACATCCTTCAGCCTTGCATCCTACATGGTCTTCTTCAGCTTCGATCATGCCGTCTACATCATCCCCAACATCGTTGCCGTTTACCTCATTGTCTCCGGCTCCTCATGCAGTACCAGGCCCACAGCTCGTACCCACCATGCCTGCACCTTTGACCTCCGAACCCACAATGGCGCACACCGCTCCTTCGACTTTCCCATCTCCTTCGGCACCCACCGCTCCACCTGCCTGGCCTTCTCCACCGACTTCATCTCCTACGTCGACTCCACCACCTACATCGACTATGCCACCGACACCTTTGCCAAGTTCCCCTTACCCACCCCATCACATTCAACCTCCATTACAAACGAACGCATTGATGGTTTCTCCTGATGAACATCCTCCACGGCCTCCTGCAGTTAAGGCAGCTCCCAGACCTCGCTCTGACAAAAGAATGGATCGACCGCGCAGGCCAGCTTCAAAAGCCCCTTCTTCGACTACACCACCAGCACCCACGGCAGCACCGACGTCATCCGTGCCACCCGAACTGGTTGCATTGGGTTCCACTACACAACAACTTGCGGAATCGGTTCGACTTATTCAAGCTCAGCAACAGGTGATCATGGATACTCAACGGGCCCAAGAACAACGTCAGCTACTTCTCCAACAAGATGGACCTCCACCGAACCCTATTCCACACATACCACCCCCTACGCCCGTGCCACCACTGACAGCCACACCTCCACCCGCACCGAAAGCCAGACCTACCGAACCTGACGTTCCGGACCTTCGCATTGTTCAAGCCCCGGCCATTGCTCCTCCTCATCCACTACCAGTTCCATCATCCCCAACACGCCGACCAAGATCTAGGACTCCACGACCACGTTCCCTTCGACCTTCGGTACATTCTCATCGCCATCGCTATTCTCCTCCACGAGCAGAGCGACCTCGTTCTCCTCTCCCTCGTCATCGATCATCCACAAAACCGGACAAGGGCCGCAGAACCCCATCTCCATACAGACGACGCTCCCCACCACGACGCCGCTCTCCCGTGGTCCCTCGACGTCATCGATCTCGGCCACGTCCACGTTCCGCGACACCACGTCACAGATCCAGAGGCCGTGAAGTCATACTCCGACCAGCTGCAAACCCATCGAATCCGAACTACATCCCCACTCCCGATGCTGATGACACCTGGGGTACATGGAACGACAGTCACTACACCGACAACGACCATCACCACAATCCTCGACCCAATTCTCCTGCCGGTCCACCACCAACGGAACCACCAACCAACCCACCAACCCACACTTCAGCACCACTCGGCGCGGTGTCCTTCCGAGTTCCGGACGGCGACAGTGAAAATTCTGAATTTACAGATACAATTTCGCTCACCAAGTTTGACACGAATGACATCGACCTCGATGAAATGGTGGCGGCGGCCAATGACCCCCATAGGGTCCGTTGCCTGACTGAACTTGACCCCGATCATGTTGTTCCTCTACGCCGATCATTGACCCCGGCTATCTCGCAGCTCTTCAACCAGTTTGTGGACGCGATGTTCGAAAGGTTGGCTCAACCATACCGCACCGTCAACAACCATCGTATTTACATCAAAGCAAGTCAAGCCACCGTCAGGAATATTGCCAGGGCCTTTGCACAATCCGACTTACTGGACATCGAACTCGCAAGGCAAACACAGGCCTTCTACATCGAGCCAGAAAACTTGCTGACCATCACGGTTCCCACAGGATTGAAGAAGAAACCAATCTACCGTGGCGAACACATGGGCACCTACCTGATCTACCACAAAACGAGTTGGGAATCAGTTGCCAAAATTCTTGCGGAGGACTGCATTCGCCCGGCAACTTGGACCAAAAACGAAGCCGGCATGCCGACTCAATACCCATGTTACGGGTTCTTCGGAATGTCCTCAGAGATCGCAGACATCGACCACCTACCCGGCTATGCTGTCAAGATCTGTACCTCTCAGCTCTACAAAATAGGCAAAGGACAAAACCCATCAGGCCTAATGGCCATATGCCGCTCACCCAAATGCATCCGTGCCCTAGCTGGAGGAAATGACCAAATCCAACGCTTGTGCAACCTTGCGGGCATCGCCAAGGGCAAAGACAATGCAACGGCTATGAACTCAAGCGCCGCATCTATATGCTACGTTGCCTCCACTCACACGGTTTTCCCGGGCTTGATCACACACCAGACTGCAGAGACCAATGCACCTTCGGAACCTCCTGATGATTCTACACGTCCAGTACGACCTGACCCTTCTGCTGACGCCCCTGAACCTTCGGAGCCGGCCCCGGACGACTCTCGCGACACACCGAGCCACCGCGAAACCGCTGCCTCTGGCTCTCGGGACTATGCTCGCCGATCTTGGCACGACAATGCTTCTTGGGACAATTCCACCTACAGCCACCGAGATCGCCGATCCTCATACCAGGAAGACCACTCTCGTGACCAGCACCATGAAGGCCGACCTCGTTCTCGACATTCGACCCACTACTCTCGATCTCGTTGGTGAACTATTTACCCTTGAGAAGCACCGGAACTAGTATCGACTATTCTATGTCAGCGATACAGTGAGCCTAGTGGCCCCGCCCGATCATTTTGGAGTAACAATGCTTCTCCCGACATTCGGTATTGCCGCCACTTCTTCCTCAAAAGGTTTGTGAATCGCTGCATGCTCATATTGTTGATCTTTTCGCCGATTCGTTTTCACTTCACGTTTCACACACGGGGACCACGTATTATGTCTCACACTTTTTCAATTTCACATTACCTTTGTCTCACCTCGACATTTTCCGCAGCTTTCCTTCGGCAGTTCGAGCGCATTTTGATCTATTATCTCGTGACCCTCGCTACATCATGGCGTCCCAGGACCTGATCTCCCAATATAGCGCGGATGTGAATGGAATTCCTCCTTCCCAGCCGGATCGCTCGCGCACTCCACCTCGTCATCAACATGGATGGCACCAAGCAGTACCGGCGTTTCGTGGCCCGATGCACTATGCCATGACGACCCATCGACCCTTTTGGAACCCTTCCGGAATACCGCCTCCGCCACCTACCTCTCCATCGTTCCCAACACGCCCACCATGGACTTCACCTACGGCACCTTTCCCGCCCACGCCGCCTCCGAGCTCACAGACACCTCCCAACCACGCCAACTTTGCACCTCAACGTCACCCTTTTACATCGAGATCACCGAGACCTATGTCATCCCCAGGAGCAAGTTCCTCTGTCAACGAAGGATATACATGCAGACCAATTGAAATCCCGCCAGTGGAGAACTGGAAACCGGATGTCGACTTCCACGACTCCAACAAAATCAATGGTTTGGACTTCCCTTCCAGAATCCGACAGAGCAGATTTTCAAGCTACAAGGACATTGAAGGGATGGATCCTTTACAAGTCCCACTCTGGAAGTTCTTGTACCAGGGCTTACACAATACTTGGCTTCGTCGAGTTGCATACGGAAGAGAAACCTTCGTCCTTCCTTTTGACAACATAGGCACTACAGTATTTGTGGCCGAATTGGTATCCCAACTACGCACCCGCAATGTAGACTTGGACAAACTTGCTACATTTCGAGCTCGTTCAGCAGGCCAATGTCTCAACCAGAAGGAAGCCACCCAAAACATGGCCAAAGATGTTGCTCAACTTCTCCAATCTTGGCTCCCGACTCAACCTTCTGCTGACGTGGCCAGCCAACAACGCATTCTTGAACTGGAAGCAGAACTGGCCAAGGTCAAATCGGCCGCTACTACCTCACCGGCTACAGCACCTCCGGGCTCAACTCCGGCTACGACACCGATAGGACGTGCACTTCAAGGACAACCTGCCGCTTCTACGACCTTCGAACCCTCCACTCTGCTTATCTCTCCGGGCTCCGTGAACACTTGGCTCGTCGACAACCAACCCACATCATTGTCGGATACTCAATATACCAAGTGGTTGAAAGCCTTGAAGCTACCCCAGCCCAAACAGGACATCCTGGAGAAGAACTTGGAAAAGGTCAATGAATGGTGGCAAAACCAACCCGATGATGCTTCGAAAACTATCCAACGCGCAAGCGTGGCTATGGGGATTGACCCCTGCAAGCACAAGGGGGCATCCACGGATGAAGTCGTCCTCAAGGTCATGACGGTGGCGTTATTGATGCAATCCTGACTAGCAGCCTATTTGAAAGCACCTGGCTCAAAAGCAGCCAACATTATGCGAACTTTGGCCGTGGCTCATTCCTGTATTCTTGTTCTTGCACTTTTGACTCCTTTCACGTTGTCCCCTTCTGTTGATGTCTTTTTTGTTTTTCGGATGCTCCAAACAGTATTGATGGGCCAATATGTGTTATTACATCCACGGGCCAATCCGAAACTCCAAGCCTTGCTCAAAGGCACTCCGATGCAGAGTATTTTCTTTTGCAGATCCTGGGATGACTTGTCTGTCGCCCTCCAATGTTTCAAGCATCCTCAGGCGGTGTATATCCGTTTCTGTCACATTGCGAATTTTCAACCTAAGTTTTATGTTGGTTCCACGTCTTCCTTTGTTTTGGACCGCGAACACTCTCGCTATCGGAAATTTCTGCAAGTGCAACAACATAAATTCGTGCTGGCCGAAGTTGCCTTACGGTTTTGGTGCAGATTTGACAATTTCTGGATGTGGTCTGTTTTCCCGATCTACACCAATAAATCCAACTTTTGGGCCTTGGAACAGGCCTTAATTCAATTGTGGCAACCTCGATTGAACACCCCGTTCATTTACCAGTTTTTCAATTGCCGAAAGGGACTCATTGCACGTACCAAATTTTCCGCCTCTCGACAATTTGGAACATTTTCCTTGTGGCGGAAACTTCGCTGGCGATCTACACCTCATCATGTTCGACACGCCCTTCATAGTCCTCTTTTCCATCGACGAGTACAACTTTGGGAGATTATCCAGGATTTGGGCAGTAACTCCGTTCGACGCTTCCACATGGAGAAGAAACTACGATCCAACGAAATTGGAGTTCAAGGCTGCTACTTTATCCGACGTCTTGCCAACAATCTTGGAGAACCTCAAAGGTCGTACGCCGTCAATGCCGTTGACCGAGCTTTGACCTTCTGGAAAGCCAAACGAGTCAGAAAACCGGTTCCTCTTCGTGCGCCTTGGCTACTATGCCCCAACTGGACTCGGGATCTTCGACGCCTACTCACCTCCCACGTTCATCAAACCCGACACTACAACACCACATTGCAGACTCCTTCCACGGCGATTGTCTTCACAAAGTTCCCCTCGGTGATGGATAGCTTGTGCAATC